AGGAAAAATACTGGGGACAAAATAACTAGAATGTCTTTGCACTGAAACCCACATAGGCATACAAATAAAGGCAGGCCAAAAAACAAGAAAGTGAGCTAGAGAATTCAGTAACAAAGATGGGGTGAGCTGCATGCGATAGCAGAGGTCAGAATGACTTGATGTTATCTGGTTGAAGGACTGTGCTTTATTTGGGGGATAGAGGGCAGAAGAAGAAGAAATAGAGCGACTGACCGAGTAGCTGGTTAATCATTCGGGAGACCCAGGTTCGAACAAGGTGATACATTTTTGTGTCGGGGGCAAAAATAGAATCCTAACCTGCACAGTCCATGGCGACAGCACTATCCATATGGACCTCAATCCGCAGGCTGATGCCCCCCCCCCAGCCTTGTCTTACACCCAGCCCCTGTCTTACACCACCCCAGCCCTTATCTTACACCCAGCCCCTATCTTACACCGCCCCAGCCCTTGTCTTACACCTCCCTCAGCCCCTGTCTTACACCTCCCTCAGCCCCTGTCTTACACTGCCCCCAGCCCCTGTCTTACACCCAGCCCCTGTCTTACACCGCTCCAGCCCTTGTCTTACACCTGCCTCAGCCCCTGTCTTACACCGCCCCAGACCCTGTCTTAACCTCCCCCAGACCCTGTCTTACACCGTCCCAGCACTGTTTTACACCACCCCCAGCCCCTGTCTTACACCCCCAGTCCCTGTCTTACATCGCTACCAGTCCCTTTCTTACACCCACAATCCCTGTTTTACATCGCTCCCAGACCCTTTCTTAAACCCACAGACCCTGTATTACACCCACAGTCCCTGTCTTACACCGCCCCCAGCCCTTGTCTTAACCTCCCCAGCCCCTATTTTAACCTCCCCCAGCCCCTTGTCTTACACCTCCCCCAGCCCCTTGTCTTATACCGCTCCCAGCCCCTGCCTTACACCGCCCCCAGACCTTGTCTTACAACGCCCCAGACCCTGTCTTACACCGCCCCCAGACCATGTCTTACACCGCCCCCTGACCCTGTCTTTCACCGCCCTCAAGATGATAAACGCAGACAGTAATGACAGTTTTTTGTTTCTTTTAATTCTGCTTATCAGTCAGCGTCTGTGGTCCAGGTGTTGCGAACGCTGTTAGAAATGCCGGGTTCGATCCTAGCTTCAGGCAATTTGACAGCAGACTGCCTTGCGTTGGTATTAGCAGATACCTTTTAGAAAGCAATGGCAAACTTCTTCTGCTTTCTATCTCCCACTGGGGTATAGGCCCTCAACCAACTCACGCCAAGTCGTTCTATCCTTCCCTATTGCTTGCAACTCTGCTCTATTGCATGCATTTTACAATAATTTAAAAAAAAAAGGACAAACAGGATAGGCCAGGTAAAAACACATCAACAAAATAAACAACTTCGTTTTTAGATATTACACTCTGCAGTGACACACGGATCGAACCGTTCAGTTTGGCTGCTCATGTTTCATCGTTCCTGTCACGTTTTCATTCTATTCTTTCAGCGTTGGCCGACAAGTACAGGAAAAGATGCGAAGAAAGAGAAAAGGTTAAAGTAATCAGAAACTGAAATGTTTTTATGGTCGCTCTAATGCCTAGGGTTTCTTAAATGAAAGATGTGAATCCTTGTTGCAAAAGATACGGGTTTGTTCTGGTTTCATTTTGTCGTGCTAAGTGAGTGGTGTTGACATAACAGAAGGAGTCAGAATGGCCTGTATTACATAAATTAAATTTCTCTTTTTAGACGAGGGATCAACATCATGACACAAGAGTAGTAACCCATAAGTGCTCCGTTCTACTCTTGAGTCCAAAGAATCTCTGCGCAGTGCACGAACTCCGTTGTACCGGCGAGGATCCTGAAATACTTTGGGTAGATTTCTAACTCTAAATTTTGCCCGGGCAGCTCCGCTAGGCTACTCTTTTCGATTTCAAACTGCCAAGGGGTTTTTTACGTGCTCAACAATACATGCGGGCGTCCGATCTTACTACACAGAGACCAGGGGAATTTATTAGAAGTCCACGTGAAAAAAAACCAGCCTTCTTTGGGACATGAACCCGGGACCTCCAGCACTCGAGGCGGTCGCTTTTCCTTGAGACCACGCAGCAAACACACCCCCCCCCCCCCACCCTGCCCCCTTTTTTCATTCATTGATGCCGGAAATGAGGTATCAGGGTTTGTTAATGAAAACATAGGAAAACAAAATCCAGGCCGAGAACAAAAGAGGGCATCATGTGATAAATGTGTTCAAGTAAGTACAGACCTGTGTTCACTACAGTGGAGCTTTGAGATCAATGCTGCTAGACAGTGCCACCTTCATTTCAATCATCACCTCATCCCACAATCTATTCCTATTCCATTCCTGATTTACTCCTCCACTCAGCGCGGTTCATAGCAGTTTGTTCCCACGAATCTACCTAAAATATCTGTTTGTATTTCTTCTCAGTTGTCATTGACGCCTAATTTCCAGCGTTTGCGTGGCCTTTCCCTGTCTTTATTTTCACCGTATTTATTTAGCATTGCTTTTTGTGGCATTTGTACCTGGGCATCCTCGCAAAACGTGGCTTCAGCCGAGCCAAAGAGATTTACTGAGAGAGGGAGATCTGATAATCTGGTAATCCTAGTTTCAGCTTCATGGCAAACGGGTCACCCCATAGTTGCTCCTTTTCTGTACCAACGAAAAACACACGTAGCTCAGTGTCACGCCATGCATTCAACTCAGAAGCTGGGCGACGAAACTATATCCTTCGTCTACAAATGGAGCAAAAATGCAACGGCCACCATCTGGCAGAAAAAAAAATTTGCCCAGGCTATTTAAAAAAAAGGTGGCCGTGCCTAGCGTCCATTTTGACCTGAAGCAATATATGAGGGTTAATAAACGGTCACCCCAGCAGTACCCTCATTATTAGCTGGGGAAGGGACTTAGGACATTATATCCACCAGCAGGCGTCGCACCTACATCGAACTAACTGCCTTCGTTAACGGCTGTTCACCCAACAGCCATGCAGTTCTTTGGCACGAAGGAGACACCTTGAACTTGGTTTTCGGACGGCCGACTCCCTACAAGATGTTATTTTATGTTTTGTTATCACAACTGATGTCACTGCACACTGGGCATACCCATGCGTGCTCAGTTCTCCGAAGCAGCAGCCACTTCAAAGTACTTCTACTAACTGTCCCCATGAGAAGCTGGTTATATTGTCTCCTTTCTCGGCCTCGAAGACGGCAAAGACGTGCATCATCATGCTTAACTCCCATGTCACGCAATCGTGTTAGTGTCAGGGATTCCTCATTCTCCACTAGCCCAGTTCGTACAGCGTTGACAATATCTGCTCTGTGGCGCGGTGATTTATGTCACAGGCGTGAGGAGAAGTTAAGTCCAACATGATGTGTATAAGGAGATACTCCGTACGTCACTCGGGCGCCAGTCCTTTTCTATCCTGGTTGTACGGAACCTCACGCAAGACCCCTACAGCACGTCCTCGTCGTGCGCCACGGATAATGTATCAAATGAGCATTAACAGAGCTGTCAGGGGATCTCGGAGTTCGGCGGCCCCCAGAGGTGATGTGTCCTTGTGGCTCTCATCAGCCCGCCCCCAAACGCTTGGGTGAAAAATGTTATCAAAACTCATTAGGAACATGAGTAAGTTTGCCAAACGTACAGCCAAAATTACAACCCTTGGTTAAAAGACTGCGGAGTAAAGAGAACACTGTTCACTGCACATCCTCTGTTAACCCTCAGTGTCGTCGTCACCGCGCTGAGATACACCACAACAGCAATCATCCATAGGCTGGCCATCCTTGTACATCCTCGGTTAACCCTCAGTGTCGTCGTCACCGCGCTGAGATACACCACAACAGCAACCATCCATAGGCTGGCCATCCATGTACACCCTCGGTCAACCCCCAGTGTCGTCGTCACCGCGCTGGGGTACACCACAACAGCAACCATCCATTGGATGGCTAAGCCTAAATGTCCGACAAAACTAGATCATACGGATCAAAATCTGACCATCAAAATTTGCATTGAACTGAAAAAGACCGAATGTCCACACCCAAAGACCCCACTCGCCCGAGTGTTGGGACAAAACTGATAACGATATGTCTGATGCAGGATGTAAAATTCTGGCGGGCTAACGGCTCGTCAAAGAAATTCAACGTGCGAGGAAAAAAAAAAAGAATGTACCTATCTGTGTGGTCACAAAAGTCCAAAACCCACGGGCTGCTCCCCGCTGACTTCCAGAGGGCGCAGACCCTGTCGAGCGGGAGGCCTGATAAGGTTGTGAGGTTAAGCAGGCATGTGCAGGACGTGACGATTCCTTGGGTGAGCCCAGAACCAGAGCGCCATCTGCCGGCTCTGCATGCATGGAAGCCTCCTTGGATGGCGGGGAATGCCCATGATCTGCCCCTGCCTTCCCTTGAGGGCTAACTGTTCCACAGGGGACTGCCCCAAAGAGGTACTCCGGGGGCAATACCTGCGGCGAAGGAGACAAAGTGGACACCACACAAGTCAGGCAACGTCTCGCCCCACACAAAACAATGGCCACAGTCACCCTAGAAATAGGCCTGACGTCTTCCTTCGAAGTCGGAGTACAGCTGCCCAGGAGGCAGGGAAATTAAAAACGGTTGTACACGCAAAAATCAGGTCCAGGTGAAAGCCAAAAGTCCAAGCGGACGATTATCCTGGACCTTCCACTGGAATTCACAGCCGGTGATCGATAAAAAAAAAAAAAATCTGCTCTGTCCATGCTTTTTACCGCAATCATTAGTGCAGTGTTTGCCAGTTGGTCCGCTCGCTCATTTCCCTTTACGCTCGCATTACCCGGTGTGCAGATCCAGGTTACAGAGGTTAAGTGCGATTTCCGAATGCTTTCTATCCATTCAGAGCGCATACTGCCTGTTGCTATCTTCTGAAGCATATTCATTGAGTCTGAGACAATTACTACCTGTGTGGCGGTTTGCTCAAATACTCATGCTAGAGCTCTAGAAGCAGCGCTGCATTACGATCAAATCGTATAGACGCCATCAAATACGAACTGTGCTGGTCCGGACAGTGTAATATCAGTGAATACTGTTGCCTGGTTGCACACTGCTTTCTTGAAATAGTTTACCCTAAACGTTACCTTTAAGTCACCACCTGGCATTGTGATTCTTCTCTCTTGAAGTTGGTTTTTATTTCTGCTGAGCCGTTCTTCTGTGTTTTTTAATTGCGAATAACTGTGTGAATTCAGTTCGCAAGCTTTGCTTGTATTTGTAGGATTGCAATTATCCGTATAATTAACGTGGTTTTCTTGCGCCGCGCGTCTAACGTAATCAGCAATGGCGACAGCAACACATCCTGTTCCGCATGCAAGAGTCTCGTTTTCAACTCCTCTTTCATAGGTTCTAACGAAAAGATGCGAATCGTCAGCACTCATGCCTTTTTCTATCCCATTAAATAATTCAGTTACTTGTCCCAAATTTGTGCAATCGTCATCGGAAAAGACAGATATAGGAATCGTCTCAGACGTTTCTTTAATCAACAGACCTAGATTTTCAGCATTATCCTTGATTTGTTGATTTATAATGTTCTGTTTTCCTCGACTATTCACACACTGGCCATATTTGGCAACAAAGTTAATATTACATCCACCCTCTCCATATAACTCGTACCTGAGTTTCCTCCCATTATTGACCACATCGATATCTTCTATATGAGAAGATAGAAACGCTATATGATGCGGCGAGCCATTGTCCATATACATATTATCAGCATCATATATTTTTATTTGATCAAATCGTATATCTTTCATATCAACAATATACACACAGCTAGACCTGCTGGACCCTGTCCAGTTTCGTTTTTTGACCCCGCCAATGTGAGTTCCATCGGCTGCTAGAAACGACAGCTTTAAATTCTCACTTTCTAACTTTCCATCAGAATTCTCTAGCCCATTTGTGGCCCTATTTTTAATCTTCACTATATTTGGTCCTGCACTGGGTTGAAAATTTGGACTCTCCTTGCTGCTTGTTTCAAAGCTATTATTACCTTGGTCTGTCGACAAACTTTGGTACTCGGGTATGGCTCTGTCTTGAGAGCTAGTATTCTTATGTCTGATGCCAATTCTCAGAGCAAACGCCACTGCACAACGAGACCCATTGCCACATAGCGAACCCTCCCTCCCGTCCGCGTTGTAGTAGACGAGTTTGAAATCAGCTACATCGCTTGACCGTATCTCTAGCAGTCCATCGGCACCAATTCCAAAATGGCGGTCACACATTTTCTTCCGTTGGTCATCGTCGAGTCGAATCTTGTCTTCTCTGTTGTCAATGGCAACGAAGTCATTTCCGGCCCCTTGGTATTTAGAAAAAGGAATCTCCATAGCTATCTACAGTGCAATATGCTGTTGAAACGAAACAAAACAGATACAAATGAGAAACAGCTCCAGAGTTTAAAAAAAAATCACAGTATAAGTTCCTAGGCCCTGTTATAAATAACATTTTTAAGGCAAAAATTGTAGACACATTGTTCATTAACAAACATGTCGTAAAAGGTTTTTGGTCCTGACTCTCAGATGAATGGGACCATTGGTAGCGGGCATATGGACCTTGTTTTTCTCATCTTGTCGGTTGCTTGAGGTACTATTACTATTTGAACTCTGCGCTGGCTGCCGAAGATGAGGACGGAGCACGCATGGGAATGCCCCGAGTGCTGTGATGTCAGTTGTGGACTCAACTCAACTCGAGTCAATTCATCTTGTCGGTCGTCTGAGGTTTTTCCATGTGACTGAAGAGCGAGGCACCACCTGCAGCAATTGGTTCTCCTATAAGCTGCGAACATGTCTGATGGTGCAGGACGGAGTCAGCACTTCGCAGGAGGTGGCTGCTCAGATTGTGGCGACACACATCAAACTTTGACTGTTGAATTAGGAATCGATATCATAGCACTCAGGACACTGCCCATAAGCGCCCCGTCCTCATTTTCAGCAACAAACGAAGAGTTCCAATTCCGATGCAACCAGTAACTGTCTGATTGTATATCCGTCTCGCCCTTTCCTTGAGTGTTGAGTGTCGGCCAGACCCCCTGGTAACTCCTCGCAGCGCCATTCTCCTCTGAACGTAATGATCTATCTGTGCCTCCGCACTGTCTACTCGCTTCCAGTGGGCCCTCACAACATCCAGCTTGTCATACATCATTTCACCACCAAGTGGTGCAGAACCAACCATTGATATTATGCTTTAGTACACTTGACTGGTCGAGGTTAGTCAGCATTTTAAAAGAACTGTTCAGTCGCCAGGCGTTTGAACCAAGATTTGTCATTTGGTAGGTTTTCTGCCAGCGGACTACACTCATGTTCGAAACGAGTCTTCGATTTACGTTATCACTCATGCATAATACTTTTCAACACAAATGTTATAGACGGGTTCTTAGAATATCATGAGTAAAGAAAAGAACAAATGCATCCATACTTCAAGAACTGAATATTAAAGAATGTTTGCTATTAAAGACGATAAAACACAGACAATTGAACTATTTTGGTCACTTGAAACGATAAAGAAAGTTTAGAGAGAACAATAATGGAGGGGTATATGCCTGGAAAGAGAGGAAGAGAAAGGCCACAGAGAAGATGGGTGCAGGATGTGGCGGATGATCCCCAGATGGGTGTATTGGACGCGGGAGATCTTGCTTGTGATCGAGAAGTTTTCCGGAGGGTTGTTATGGGAGCAAGGTTCTGCAAAGGACATGTTACTGACTGACTGACTGACTGACTGACTGACTGACTGACTGACTGACTACTCATGCATTGGGACTGGATTGATGAGAGCCAAAGGCTTTCTGGACAACACCAACTCTGAGATTCCCTGGCAGTCCTGTAAGAGCCAATATGACCTATTATCCGTAGCGCACGACGGATCTGCAAAGCCAGCACAGAGCCTTGTAGTACCTGACTTGAGAGAATGAATATCTCCCTATACACATCACAAGGGTCCTAACTTTCCCTAACAGCTTAATATAAACCATAGTCGTTAAAGAAACAGAACGAAGTTTAAATGCAATCGAAAACAAATACTTAAGGAAATTTACGAGCATTACACGGGATGAATCAAGAAAGACGACAACATCAGAGAAATGTCCGGACAACCACTTGTATTCACATCTATAAGACAAAGAAGATAGCAGTATATTTAGCACATTGCGAAGACACGCAGACACAGAGTCACTCGACAGGCACGGAAATGGGAAACAGATGGACAGGGGAAACGTGGACGTCTAAGAGAAACCGTAAGATGAACGTTCACGAGAAAGGCCAGGGGTGCTGGACTAGATTCCGGGCTTGATATTTAAAAGGTCGCACATGATAGAACAGAATGGGGGAATAGACTGTGGGCTGTATGTGACAAATAACAGCCTAAAGTATGATGATGATAGCGGTGAATTATGACGATGATGATATGGATGAGGATGTTGATGATAAAGCATAGTGTTGTGGAACAAGCAAGTGTGGCTATCAAATGTCAAATTAAATACTCACGTGTAAAATGAATCAAATGACGTATGGGGCAGACTGCTACGTGTCCCAAAGATCTATTAATTTACTGCAAATTGTTACGGAGGGGTCTACTAATTGAGTGTACACCGGAATTAAAGTCTACACCGTGTTGTGTGGAGACTGCACCACACACCACACACCAGTGGTTCTCAAAGTCAAATTTCTGGTACACTTTCTATTGAATAAGTACATTAATCATTTGGAGAAAGGGCCTTTTTGGAGTTTCAGTGCCAAGAAGACGGAGCCTTGAGGATGTGATTCTCTTAGTTTGCGCACACACACAAAAAGTAAAAAAAAAAAAAAATAAAGCGCCTAGTTGAAACAAAATTTATACATGTGTGTCTGCGTGTGTGTGTGTGTGTGTGGTTGTGTGTGTGTGGTGTGCGTGTGTGTGTGGTTGTGTGTGTATGTGTGTATTTATTCCTGTAGAAAACTTAATGCACTAACACAATCTTTATGAATCAAACTGACATCTCAACATTTATTCAAATTAGCTATCGAATTTGCATATTTATGCATGCATTTTTTAATTACTTAGGACACCCACGACTAAATTGAACAATTTGGCTAAATTTTCTGACGAATAAAACCCGAATAAGTCCCAACTCTTGTGTTTTGGGAAGTAAGGCCCATGCTGTCCCTCCAGACACTCCTGGCACATGGTTCCATTCCTTTCCTGTCTCCTACAAGAAGATTTTGGTTGCATTAACACAACAGTCCTTCTCGCCATTGCTGGGCACAGGTAACCCCCACTCAGAAATCGATGTAAAATTCCAGAACAGATCCGACTCAGAATCTCAAGGCGTGCATATAGGGCCGATGAATTGGCCTAGCCGTCGTTTTGGCTATTTCACTGTTGTCCGATAGATCGGCCGAGTCGTCTCCAAAGGATTAATACCATCAAATTTTCATACTGAAGAACAGACTAAGTTTTTTTTCTTTTTCGGCGGTACGCGGTAGCGACACCTTCTGGAATTCATGCCACCCTCCCACACCGCCCCACCCCCCTTTCCCAGAGTTACTATTATTTTAACTTTTTGACTAGTACTCACACACTCTTTGTTTAGACACTGTTACGAGTACCGGAAAGACGTTTCTTTAAACTCTTTGAGTCCCAGGCAGGGCATTATGTGTGAAGCACTCCGTCTGCTGAATCTCTATTTAGCCTAATAGGTTCTCTTCTTTGTTTTTTTTCTTTTTTTTGGGGGGGGGGGGGGGGGGGGTGTTTTTTTTCTTTTTCTTCTAAAATTGTTTTTTATTTCGTCACTTTTTTTTTCTTTAAATTAGTCATAACACACTCACTCCTAGGTGTGAGACGACTGCTGTAGTGGGACGTAAGTATGTGTCTTTCTTGTTCCTGGTCAAGCTTCCGTTGTATGTTGTGTTCATGTAGCGCATGAGCGCGCCGTTTTAAGAACCAGTGCTGCACACGGCGTTGTGTTATCCGTTTTATGTGCGACCTATGAACTTGTGTGCAACTTACAGCGGACTCGTACAAAGGTCCGCTTACACCTAGCTATCAGCTGTTAAACACTTGTGTAATACTGAATGTGTTTAATGATGAATTATGAATCCACATCACAGCACACGGGACACTCCCATGAACTCTCCATCATCAAGCGAAGAGTTCCAATTCCGATGGTACCAGTAACTGTCTGACTATATATCCGTCTCCCCTTTCTCTTGAGTGTTGAGCGTCGGCCAGATATCTAGGTTCTATTTTCCTTAGACCGTAATGATTTATTTGTGCCTCCGCTCTGTTCACTCTCTCGCACAGGGCCCTGACAACATCTAGCTTGTCATACGTCATCACCACCAAGTGGTGCAGAGCCGACCAGTCTACCTGCCTGCTCGTTTCTCAACACACCAGCATCAACCTGGAGAAAATATCTAAAGGATGCTAACTACCCGAGACCTCTGAAGCGATGCTGGCCACTCTTATAATATTGTATAGATAAATATATGTGAGAATACGACAATATATTGCTATGCGTTGGTTAAAGGTCACGAAGGGAGTTAAGTCGAGATGTATTCTAGGCTGCAGATTATGCCTGATTGGTGTGGTAGTTACAGGCGCCCTATTTGTAACTTCTGTATAGATTTAATGAATTAGCTGATCTTTACCATGATCTGCCATTCTGAATGAGGTTTCGTAATTGCAGGACGTCTTCAGGTAGCGACGTAGAGGGGAAAACGGCAAGATAATTTCTGCAAGAAATTTCCAATCCCTGATTTGCTTTTATAATACTTCTGTAACGGGACTATGTTGAAAATGTCACGGGACTATGTTGATGATGTCACTGGACTATGTCGATGATGTCACCGGACTACGTCGATGATGTTACAAGACTATGTCAATGATGGCACGGGGTTTTTTGATGATGTCACAGGACTATGTAGATTATGTTACGGGACTGTGTGGATAATATCACGGGACTATGTAGATTATGTCACGAGGCTATGTCGATGATGTCATGGGACTGTGTAGATTATGTCATGGGGCTATTTAGATTATGTCACGGGACTATGTCGATGATGTCACGAGACTATGTCGATAAAATATTCACAGTGAATAGCTAAGATAGAGATGCAATTTTTTTATTCCCTGGGCTGTCACTGGAGCCACGGAGCTTCTTACTTTGTGAGACGCTGTTAGCAACAGGCTAACTTTTCTGTAGAAAGTGATTGGGCCATATGGGATAAACCCATTGAGATGGAGTCATCCCCACCCCATTTCTGTGTCCGCCACATTCTATATCTGTCTGTCCGTCTGTCTGTCTATCTGTCTTTCCGGAGGCAGCAGTTGCTTTTCTATTACACTGTTATGCTAT